TCCTTCCTCTCCCCCCCCTCTCTCTCGCTCCCACTCTCACTCTTTCTCCATCTTTCTGTCTACTATGAGTTAACCTTGTACCCTTAACAACATTGTACACCCTTCTTTCGTTGCTTACATACTTTGTTTCCTTCATACTTTTCTGACAGTACTGATGTGCCCCCCCTCCCCCTTTTTTCACACACACTGACTCATATGCATGCATCCTAAATCCTCATTCGACCACACGTAGAGCTCAACTGCACACATATCTATCCGCACAACGGAACTATGATAAAATACTTTCGCTTTTAAAGATCACAATATCACTTCACAATGAGATGCCCTTCTCTCTAAACCCTGCAAAACACAGCAATCGGCTACACCCGAAACCACAGACGGACCTTTTATACTTTTTTTTTTCAATGGGACTTGAGCACCCTTCAGGAGTCCGGTCTATAAAAACGATTTTCGAGAAAGAACGAGGTCATTCGTGCCAAAACCCAGACAGATCAGAAAATTCAGAATATTCCCTTGAAGGCATGATTGAACCTCCCCAGACTACCCCCCCAAACCCCCCACAAAAAACTAAAAACAACAAATACTGAGAAAATATTGCTCTGTAACTTTTTTCTTTGATTCGCTGGCAATTTAGAGGTCTCTTATTGTAGTGTCGATTCTAAAACCGTGGCTCTTTTATTATTTGCTGAGTAATACTTTTGTACGTGAACTTACTTAAAATGTTCTTCCACACTATACGTACTTTTGCGTTTCTACTTCTCTCCCTTTTGATCCAATGCCATCTCCTCTCTCACCCTTATCCGCCCTCTGCATACCCTTTGCAGCACGAATGTAAGGTTATGCAAAGATGGTCGATAGCTCGATACCTCGATAGCTTGATAGCTCGATAGCTCGTTAGATCAATAGATAGATAGATAGATAGATAGATAGATAGATAGATAGATAGATAGATAGATAGATAGATAGATAGATAGATAGATAGATAGATAACCATCCATGCAGGTTTCATAAGAGCCTGACACATAACCAGTGCGGACCAACCATACCTTTCTCTCCTTTGAGTTTGATGCAGTGAGTGCCCTTGAAGAAGCCATAGACACAGTTCCGGGCTATGAGCTCCACAGTGCTGATGCCCGTATCGAATTTGTCCTCACAGCCTTCGTTCTTTCCGTTGATGGATGTGCATTTGTAACAGTCGATTGCTTCCGCTGTAGGTGAAAGGGCATACAGAAAACAGGTTTAGGTATGGGAATGTGGTCATCTTTCGTAGATTAAGACGCGAAGCTGTCTTCTTCTACTTGTGTATGATGATGATACATGGGGACTTGGATATTTATGGGCAATTTCATGATTCTATAATTATTAGAAATGCATCATCATCATCATCATCATCATCATCATCATCATCATCATCATCATCATCA